GCCCTGCTCTGAGCCCGACCAGGGGCTGCACCTAGGGATTGGGCCTGCCCTCTGCCACCCGGGAGCGGGCCTAAGCCAGCAGGTCGTTATCTCCCGAGGGGTCCCAGACTGTGAGAGGGCACAAGTGGCGCTGAGGGACACCCCCCCACCCGCCAGTGCACAAATTTTTGTGCACCGGGCCTCTAGTCTTTTTATAATGATCCAGGAATTTTTTAGGAGGATGGGGAGACTAGATGTGTGTAATGACCTTTGTCAGCTTGAGGCCTCAGCTGTCAAGTTTTCTCAACTGAGAATGGGAAGTACTTGACCTTTCGTTCTCAGCTGTGGGTCTGTCTCCAATTCTGGGAATTTGGGAAGAATTCTACTCAGTGCTTCAGACATCCTGGGGTCGAACCTTTTCACTGGTTTTTCACCCTAGTTATGGATTATATGTAAACAAACTTTCACATTTTCCTTTTGAAAGGAAGTGATCTTAGCTTGCCACAGCATCTCTATTATCTGAATCATGCAGATCATGTAGCCTGGAAATTAAATTTGGGATTACCCTTCAGCAATTATTCATCCAGTATTAAGAGTCCACAGTGTACCTGCACTGGGTTGAGTTCTTTGAGAAGCACAAGGAAAGGATGCCTTCCCTTAACTTACATAAGAGCAGCGTGGGCAGCATGGAAGTGGTAACATTTGATAGAGGCTCCGAGTAAAAGAGACTGTTATACGTTGGGAAAGGCTTCAACGAGGCGTACATTGAACTCAGTTTGGGTCTTACAGGAGGAGCAGATTTTGACTAGGAGGACAGTGGATGGGAGAGTCCATCTGCCAAGTCCCTTCACCCCCATCTTTTTCATCTCTTTCCCTTTTGTAGGTCCGAATGATAAACATGTACAAGGAAATTGACCAAACACACTACAAACAAGAGATTAATGCCAAGAACCTGATCCAGTGTTGGAGAGAATGTATGGCCATGTCTTCCTACTCCCTGAGGAAAGCAGCTGTGGAAAAATTCAACTCGGAGAATTCCTGGAAGAAGAAGGGGCTGGCCATGGTCCCCGTGAAGTTTCCTATCGGCCTTGGCTCCCGGGCTGCTGGCCAGGTCAGTTCTCCAAACAGACAGATGAAAAGGTGTTTGAGAAAGTTTCCGCGGAGGTGAATTAGCCATATGGCTGCAATATCTGCTCGCTAAACGTCACCAAAGTTGGGCTCAAGCACACTGGCTTTTCTCTAGAGGAGACCAGAGCCTCTTTGCCCACATCCCCAGGGTTGGTGACAAGCATCCCTCCTGGGAAATTGGGAGACCCAGTTTCTACTCCTGGCCCTAGTATGAAGCAGCTGAGTCAACTCACTCGGCCCCAGATTGCTCCAATATAAAATCAAAGGTGGGACCAATGACTGCCAGGACTCTTCTTTCAGCTCCTCTGTGATTCGGTGTCTCTGGGCTGTGAAGTAGAAACAGGCAGCTGTAAGGCTGAGGGGTAAATTAAATGATAAGTAGATCATTTAAAGAATTTTTAGAACACAATTTTAGGAATTTATTCACTTCATAGCCATTGAAAGTGTGAAGAGGAAGACTAAAAATCTATTCTTATAGTTTAATTTCTTTTATTGATTAAATAAACTCGCTGCTTGGTTGCTAAATCCCACTTACTATTACCATCTCTTCCTTCTTGAATGCAACTTACTGAAGAAGGACTGGTCTCTCCTTGCTCATTGTATAGCTGTGATGTGGGACCCTATTATAAATATATATAT